TTTATATTTACAGGAATGAATTCCAGGATTTAGGCCTTTTATGTGCATTGAGATTTTGCATAGCGTGAGATGGAACACGAGGAACATCAAAGAGTGATCTGTGCCGTGTATTATGGTCATGTGTTCTGTTGAGGTGGCAAGGAGATGTTTGAGGGGAGGGTTAATATCAGAGTAAGTATTTATGTATGTAATAAGTGCAATAATATGTATGGATGTTTTGATGGTTAGTAGGTTGAGTGTTTTGATTATTGGTGGAGTGTGCTGCCTGTCTAGTGAGAATTTGTTTTATTCATTCTACTGCCAGCCTTTTGTTGGGTAATTTAGTGGTCTGAGTTGGTTAGTTGATGTTGAGCCCCAGTGGTTATTAGCAAAATTCCATAGGTGAGATAGGGTAAATAAGAGAGTGATAAAGGGCCAGAAGGGCTGACTGTGGAACATAGTACCGTATCTTCGATAGTATGCCTACAGTCTTGGAAATTTTCTTAGAAATTTGTTGTATATGTGTATGAAATTTGAGTCTATTATCAAGGTGGATTCCTAAGAATTTTCCCTCTGTTAGCTTTGTGATAGGTGATCTGTTTATCGTTATGTTAAGAGGTACATCTGTAGCTCTGTTACCAAACTGAATGAAGTAGGTTTTGTCAATGTTTAGTTTAATTTTTGTTAGTCCTCATCCAGGTAGTTTTTTTCTGTAATTCGGTGTTTACAGTATTGACTAGCGTGACTGGGCTTGGGTGAGAGAAGACGTATGTAGTGTCATCTGCAAAAAGTGTGGGTTTGAGTAATTGCGAAGCATTTGGTAGGTCATTTATGTATAAGAGAAAGAGAAGAGGGCCAAGGACACTTCCCTGTGGGACACCAACTGTAATTGGTTGAGCGGAAGAGCTTGCCCCATTTGCGTACACATATTGGCTTCTGTTGCTGAGTAGACTTGAGGTAGTTGAGGGAGTGCCCTCTAATACCATAGTGTGACAATTTTACGTGGAGCAAGTCATGGTCAACTGTATCAAAAGCTTTACGTAAGTCAATGAAGATCCCCAGTGGGACTTCTTTTTTTTTCTATTGCAGGGGATATATGTTCTAGCATGTGTATAATAGCATCATTAGTATTTTTTTTAAAGGCCTGAATCCAAATTGGCAGGGGTTGGAATGTTTTGGGGAATGAGGTAGGATTAGATTCGTTTATGAATTAATTTTTCGAAATTTTTGAGAGAGGGTGTAAATTGGATTTTGGCCAAATAGTTATTCAACCTGTTTTTTCCCTCCTTTATGGATGGGGGTGACCTTGCTATTTTGAGAGCTGTAGGGAAGGTGGAGGATTCAATGGATTTGTTAAAGAGTGTTGCAATGATTGGTGATAGTACTTGTGACACTTTTTTGTATATAAAGGGTGGAAAGGGTATTTAAATCTCCTGCCTTGTTTTTTAGTGCGTTGATAATAAGGGAGACTCGTATGGGTTAGTCGGAGCTAAGAACAGTGTGTTCGGGAAAGTTGCCAGTGAGGTAGTCATTTGGTGGGGAAACTGAGTTTGGGATTTTATTGGCAAGGTTTTGTCCTATAGTGGAGAAGAAATCATTGAGTCTGTTTGCTGTTTCTGTTGGTGGGAGTTGGGGTTCATCTGATTTTGCTAATTTATTTTCGCTATTTCGTGATATCTTTTTTGTTCCAGAATTTCTGATAGGGTTTTCCCCAGGTTTTTTTTATATCACCCGTAAGTTGGATAATCTGTTCTCATAATACAGTTGTTTTGCCCTTCTTAATCAGGCTGGTTAGGATTGACGAGTAACGTTTTTGTTGGTCTCTGGTTATGTGACCCATTCTGTACTGTTTTCCATATGGGTGTTTTGTATTTAGGGGATTTGAGAATGCTGGGTGTTAGCCGGGGACTGTTCAGCTCCTAGCTGCCCAAACTTTTTTAGTTTTTTTAGGGCAGTGCTTGTTATGAGGTATTGGGTCTTTTTTAGAAAATTAATTAAACATTCGTCAATATCTGTATAGATTTCTAGCTCAGTGTGCCAGTAAATGTTTGTTACTGCTGTTGTGAAGTTTTTAAAATGGTGCCTCATTGTGAAGTCTGAAGTGACTTTAGTAGTGTCTTGGGGTATTTTAACCAAGAGTTGTTATAGGAAAGTAGGGTAGTGGTTGTGGTATTATCTGTAATTATGCCTGATTTTAAAGGGGATATGGTGTTGGTCCAGATGTGGTCAGGTAGGGAAACACTAGTCTCCGTAACTCTTGTAGGTTTTTGTTACTGTTGGTAGCAACATGAGTTACTCATTGTGTTTGAATCAGTAACGTGTGGGCCTGGTCTTGTAGGAGATTTATATTGAAGCCCACCTGAGAGTAGTAAGTGATCTTTGTTCATGCGTGCATCATTTATCATACTTCCTAGGTTTTGACTAAATTGGCTAATGTTTTGATTGTGGAACTCTGTAGATGTTTATCACTGTGAGAGGTTTTTGTAGGTATTTGGATTTGAATTTAGCTATTAATATTCCCCATGTTCATCCCTCGTGCAAGTATTAGTGATACATTCTAGTTGGTCTGAGTAGTATATAGCTGTGCACCCCCTTGTTGGTCTGGCCTACAGTTGTGTATGGCTGTGTAACCGGGAAGGGCATAGACATCTGTAGTATCAGGCTTAGCCAGGTTTTTCAGTTAGTGTAATGATGGACATTTTGGCATCCAAGGAATTTAGTAATACTAGGAGGTCATCGTAATGCTTGCTTAAAGATCTGATATTGTAGTTAAAGATAGTTATGTTGTTGTTGGCTCTGAAAAGTGCCTTTGATTGTTCTGCTGTGTAGTAATTACAGTAACGTTTTGAATCATTTAAGTCATTAAAAAAAGAGGTTGGTATCAGGATCAATGCTTGTAATCATAAGAATTTGAGTGAATCTATAGTTAGAATTAAGTATAAAACAAATGTAAATATTCTAAAGCTAAAAAAAAGCACCTGAATTATTTAACAAATGTAAAAAAATGAGCAAAGGTAGTTTTTTAAAGCTAAAATAAAGGAGACAATATAAAAGGACTAAATAATTTGTGGTGAACAAATAAAGTGATGATCAAATAATGGAGCTTGGGAATATGATAGTAGTAGTACTTTAAAGGTAATTTTTTAAAAGTGAATTTAATATAAAATTATAATATAAAAGAGACTAATATAAGTTGTGGTGAACAATAAAGTGGTAAATCAAATAATTGCACAAAGGTCTAATAAAATGACTTTTGTGGAGTCTATGTTTTGAGCTAGAAAGACTATAGTACAACTAGATTTAATCTAATAATATAAAAAATACAATTAAAAAATAGCACCAGTCTCTCACTAGAATTGCAATATGGTCTAATAATAAATTTTGGTATTGACTATAGTACAACTGAGTTTTAATCTAATAATATAAAAAAGGCACGAGACTCTCAATTGTAATTGCACTAAGGTTTTATATAATTGTTTACAAGAAGTAGTGTAAAACTAGTTTTAAAATTGACAAGATAAAATATACAAGTTAAGGTACAAAAAGAATAAAAAAAAGAAGAAAAAAAAAATATATGAGGTAGTTGGTACTAGCTACAAAAGATAGTTTAGGGGCCCTTTAAACAATAATATAATTGAAATATACACTAATTGCACACACAATATAGTCACTAAGATATAAAAACAATCTTAAGTAGGAATTATAATTTTAAACTTATAAATATAAAATACAAAAATTTAAATGGTAAATTGCAATTGCACTAGAGTCTGGTATAGTTTTTTGACAAGATCAAGAGTATAAATAGATTTAAATTGACAAAAAAAAATTCACAATTAAAGTACCAAAAGAATAATATAAAAAATAGCAATGGTAATGTCTTGGTTATAATATGATAGTAAGATGGTAGACAGGTACACAGGTACAAAGGATAATTAAAGGTTTTGGGGGTTTAATATACAACTTGAAATTTGGCAACAAAATGTTATGGAAAATATAAAATAATGTTTAATTACAAAAGTAAAATTGACTGGGAGTAAATATGGTGTTTAATAAAATTTTATAAGTAATAATGATTACAAAAAGTGAAAAAGTAATGTTATTTCATTCAATATTGCACTGGTACTTATACTAGAGGTTATATGGCAGTACAAGGTAATTAAGAGTACTCTAAGATAGTAAATGTGGTATTAAAACAGGTAAAGGTAATTAGACAAGTAAATTTGGTTATTAAATGTCAAAAATGTTAAGAGTAAATTGAAATTATATAAAAATGATAATTATTAATTTTAGTAGGGAATACAATTGATAGTATTTAAAAAAATATGAGGTAGTAAAAAGGACAAAGAAAGTATCAATTCAGCTAATGTTTAAGCAAACAATAGTAAATAAGAAAATTACATAAGGTGACTTATGCTTACTAGTAAAATCACAAAATGAGGTAGTTGATTATTTAATTACTAAGAGATTGTACAATAAATTTGAACAATAAAAGGAGCAAAACATACACTACACTATGTAGGCTTTTAGGGTTTGGACATTGTTTAGTTATTCTCTGTAAGATTATATCCCTGAAAATCGTGATAGATCATTCTCGTTTGTGATTGTGTACAGTTGACTACATTTTTTTCCTAACAAGAATTTTCCATCGCGTGTGAAGCATTTGGTGTATTGTGTCATTATTCCCCGCTTAAGTTTTCTGACCTATACAGGAGGTTCTGACGTTTTTTGGTTAAAACACTTGTTTATGTATACCTCTTTCTTTACTTTAATAGATGCATAATTAAGTCTTTTTTTTCCCGTCATGTGAGTGGAATCTAAGCATAACACTTTCTACCATGGGGTCCTAGTAACCTGGCTTCTTTTATTTCTGACTCTGGTACAAATAACACTTGTTTGGTCCTTTATGACTGCAGAGTAATTTCTTTACTGTTTTTTTTGGTTCATAAACACTGGGGAAAAAATGGACTGTTAACTATTACTGCGTCCGATAGTTTATCTGTTCAGTTTATCTTCTTGGAGAGCAAAGTAGTCACTGAACTGGTTATCTAAGTTGTTCTTCCATTCTTTTACTGCTTCTTCAACCTTTGTATTAAGAGATTTTATTTGTTGAGTATGGCTATCTATGAATGCTTGGATGGTCTTGTCACAGTTAGTCATTCCTGGTGTTGATAACTTTTGTTCAAGACTGAGGATTTTGTTCTCGAGTTGTGTCATCCTGGTGTCTTGTTTTGTTAGTGTCTCTCGAAGATTCATATTTTCAATAACTAAGGTGGAGATGCATGTCTTTAGGGTATCTGGATCGTTGGTCATACCTGAGAGACTACTTGGCAGGTTGAATCCGGGGAAGAGAGGGGAGGATGGGCTGGTGGCAGCCATGTTTGTTGTTATTGTTGTGGTGTCGCCTTGAGCGGTGGTGAGTGGGGTGGTTGCTGGGCCGGCGTCCTCCTGGCTACACTTGTTGAATAGTTGATTTTTCGGTGTTTTCTTGCTGGCCTTGGTGCCGTTTCCTCTTAGACTGCGCCTCATAATACTACAGGAATTGTTGTAGTTAAGAAGTTGTAGTTATACAAAGCTTAGGGTTACGTTGTTCGGCTGGCAGCGGGGTGTTGCTTTCGGTTTGTGTCAGTCTTCCTTTGATCTCTATTATTTTCAATTTGTAGGTTTCACTGTTGGTAATCTTTGGTCATTCTGGGTGCTACGTTCGGTAGTGCAGTTTTGCTTGTAACTAGGTCATCATAGGAGCATGTATTTACAAGTGTACAGGAACTTGACGTGTTCCTTGAGGTGGATGACAAAGCACTTTGTCTCGGAAACTGCAAAGTCAGTATTATTATTATTATTATAATCAAAAAGAAGCGCTAAGCCACAAGGGCTATACAGCGCTGCAGGGTAGGGAAGGAAGCGAGGGTATTGAGCGGCAGAAGGGGGGAGGGATGATCAGTAGGTTACAGAAAACAGCGGGGCAGGGGATAGTGTGGGGGTAGAGGGCAGCAAGAGATTGAGGTAGAAAGGGCTGAAGGTATCATCAGAGTTTGTGAAGTCAGTCAGTTGTTGTCAAAAAGTCAATGAGAGAGCAGCAGAGCGAAGACGACGTTGGAGGTATATTCTGCGTGCTTGTTGATAAAGTGGGCAGTCTAACAGAATGTGGCTGACCGATAATGGAACCTGACAATTCCCACAGAGAGGAGCAGGGCGCCTCTCCATGAGATAATCCATGAATAAGACAAGTATGGCCAATGCGAAGACGGGAGAGAGTAGTCTCCCAACCTCGACACTGGTGACAAGAAGATGGCCAGTAACCAATACTCGGTTTAATAGATTGAAGTTTGTTACTGAGCAGCGCAGACCAACGTTGTTGCCAGCAAAATAGTACGTAAATGGAACACCTCTATATGAAACTGGTAGGTCATGTACTGCAGACCGCGCAGCAGCGTCTTCCTGTTCATTGCCCTGTATGTCAACATGACCAGAGACCCAACAAAAAACAATACTTTATGCTTGGTAAAGATGCAGTGTAGCCAAAGTTGGATACGGAGGACTAATGGGTGAGGTGTATCAAATTTCTGTATAGCCTGTAAAGCACTAAGGGAGTCTGAGACAACCACAAATGACACAGGCATAGATGCAATATGGATAAGTGCTGCAAGAATGGCATATAATTCAGCAGTAAAAATACTAGCCGAAGATAGTAAATGCCCTCGTACGACGCTGTCCGGAAACACTGCTGCGAATCCTACGCCGTCAGAAGACTTAGAGCCATCTGTGTATACTGCAATGGCATGAGAATGAGAGTGGAAGTGGTCAAGAAAAAGAGAGCGGGAAGCTACCGTAGACAATTGGGCTTTCGAGCAAGGGAGTGAGAAAGAACAAACTCGAACAGCTGGAACTTCCCAGGAGGGTAGGGAAAAGTGAGATGCTACATGAACATAGAAAGGTGGTAACTGAAGAGAAGACAAGAGCGAATATAGGCAAAGAGAGAAGGGACAGAGCAAACAAGGGCGGCGAACAAATAAAGAATGTCTACTAATATCGGTGACCATTTCTATAAAATGGAAGGATTGCGGAGATCATGAGAGCGTACATAGTAGCGAAGGTAATGGGCATCACGGCGATCGGATAAGGATGGAACGTTCGCTTCTGCATAGAGGCTCTCAACAGGGGAAGAGCGAAAAGCACCAAGGCATAAACGTAATCCTTGGTGATGAATAGGGTTGAGGCTAGATAGAGTAACAGGAGAGGCAGCTGAATAGATCTGGTCACCATAATCAAGTCTCGATAAAATGAGGGTGGAATGTAGGCGAAGGAGAGTTCGACGATCAGCTCCCCATGAAAGATGAGCAAGGGTTTTAAGAAGGTTCAGCCGGCTGTGACAAGTTCTCTTCAGAGAGGTAATGTGAGGTTTCCAGGATAAGGCCTAGAAACCTGACTGTATCACGTTCAGGGATACGGGTCCCATAGAGGTATAAAAAATGATCGAAGATGACAAAAAACTTGGGAAAAGTAATTTGGCGAGTTTTGGAGGGAAAAATTTTAAACCCCGTTGGGGGCCCAAAATTTGGGAAACCGGTCACCGCATGTGGGGGAGAAACTGTAAGAGGTACGTCAGCGCCTCAAAGGCTATAGCGAAGTTCAAATAGGTGAGCAAATATTGGATGGAAGCTAGAAGCCAAATCATTTAAGCAAGGAGAAAAATGGTGCTCAGAACACACCCCTGGGGGACCCTTCAGCTTGGATAAAGCCGGAGGCCATTTTTAAACCCAAAACCGGAAATGTCGTCGGTTAAAAAATTTCTTAAGGAAGGATGGTGATTGCCTCGAAGGCTAAGGGGTGGGCAGGGGCCCAATTATTATATCCCAAGTTGTGTCATACCCTTCTCAAGGCAAAAAATATGGCAATAACTGAGTGGTTATTCGCAAAGCATTAAAAATTTTTATGATCCAAGCATAGTAAGGAGTCATGGTAGAAGGGCCTTCAAAAGCCATATTGCGAGTGGGAGACTGTTGTGTGTCTTAAATAACACCAAAAGTCTATTCCCAGGCATTCCATATTCGTAAATGCAGGGTAAGGAGGGCGTAGTGGGAGGCTTATTCCCGTAGTACCGGTTTGCGGAAAGGGAGAACAATGGCAGTTTTCCCCAAAGTGTGGAAGAACTCTTTGTGACCAAAAAAAGTTGAAAGTAACAATAACCCGCACATAAAAGAGAATTTAAACGACGATTTTTCGGTCCGACTGGGACCATTTACAAAGTCACACAAACCCAGAAGTGGGCAGGACGGCTATTTATAGGCAGGAAGAGGTGGGGTGGGGGTTTGTAGTAGTAGTAGAGTGTAGTACAAGAAGGGATATAATACCGACAAGATGAAATTAAGAACAGGGTGCAACACCCGGGCATCCCTATCGCAGCGTTTCGCCACCCAGCCACCCAATTTGGAGGGGCAAACGTCCACAACAAAGACAACCAGACGCCACACATTTTTCTTAATTTCTCAGTAGTAGTAGTGTAGAAGAGGTAGGTTGTAGTGGTGTGGTAGAAGTGGGGAATAAGGAGGACGACCCAGTCAAAAAATACAAAGGAACGGGAGCACTGCAAGGGGAGCTAGGGGCCCACAGAGGGAGAGCAAGCGCACAGAGGTGCGTTAAAAAGGGGAAGGGGTTTGAAAATAAATAAAGAAGGAACAAAAACACGAGACAGAAGAGAGAAAGAAAACCCAGAGGAGAAAAAGGAAAGAGGAAAGGGGAAGAGGGAGAAGAAGAAAAAAAGAAAATTAAAAAATGAGGAGTCAGGTTAAGTCACGGGTGTTCTGAAGTTTGGAGCATTTTACAATGTAGTGGGGAGGAAGGAAACTACAGAGACGAAGCCGGGGCTAAGATTCATACAAGGAAAGTTGTGTATTGAGAGGATTCAACTAGACAGGGGACTGTTCGAGTTGGAAGTAGGGAAGACAGTTTTAGCAGAAGACCAGTCAATAGGATGGTTTATAATCTCTGAGGGTGACAGAAAAGAGCATGTTAGTGTCGGCAAGCCTAACACTATTTTGTGCTCCCTAAGTCTTTTCAGTAAAGAGATCGACCAGTTTCTCGAAGTATTGAAGAGGACAGGAGGAGCAGAAAAAGGTAGACACCAGGAACATCTGTAGAGGGAGGAGAGGTATGAACGGATTAGTGCGAGAGTGTTAGTCTGGCAGAAGGTAAACTTGATGTTAAGGGACGGACAGAATTGTTGAGATTAGAAAGACCGGAAATGTAGGGAAGGCAGAGGATAGAAGAGTTCCCAGGAGTAGAGGGTTTGGGGAGAGAAGAAATTGGTTTAGCATGTGAGAGGGCAGAGGGCTATGAAATGGGAAGGGTAGCCAAGATGGGAAAACAAATTATGAAGAGTGGAAATTTCTGCTGGAAGGAAACTGAGGATCACAGATGCGGAGGGCACGGAGAAAGAGGGAGATAAGAACACTTTTCTTGACAGGGTAAGCATGATAGGAAAAGTAGTGAATGTACATGCCCTTTTGCATAGGGTTTTTGGTAAACGGAAAAGGAAAAAACCCGTATCTGAGCGGTAGACATGGACATCAAGGAAAGGAAGCAAGGAATTAGATTCCCATTCAGCTTTAAAAATTTAAAGGAAGGGGCAAGATTATTAAGAGCTTCAAAAAAAGGTTGGAAAAGACTGGAGTCATGAGGCCACAGAGCATAGATGTCATCCCCCATAGAGGAGCCAGAGTGAAGGTTGCACATCGAAAGGGTAGGAAGAACAGTCTCGAAGTATTCCATGTAAAGATTAGCAAGGACAGGAGAGAGAGGAGAGCCATAGCGACACCAAGGTTTGAGAATAATATTTCCCTTGGAAGGGAAAAGGAGTTAGAGTCCCCACAGGGTGGATTAAGATCAAGAAAGACATCAGTAGGTATAGGGAGATGTAGAAAACCCCTTTATGGCCTTCTATCTAAGGAAATCAAGGACATCATCAAGAGGGACATTGGTGAAGAGGGACTCAACGTCAAGACTAAGCATCTTGCAGGTTGGGAGAGAGCGAACGTTCAATAAGTCTTGAGGTGAGGGAGGTGAGCAGGGAGAAAAAGTCCCAAAAAAGGGGTGGGGTTTTTTGGCCAGCCAAGAAGCAAGAGAATAAGAGACAGAACCTCAAAAGGTTTTGATAGGCGAAGAGGAATTTTGGTTTATGGTTTTGGGAAAGGGCCCCAGAAATAGGGAAGGAGGGACGATGACACGAAACTTTGTGACTTTGTAAAGGTCCCAAATCGGCCCAAAAAAGTGTCTAAGCTTCTTTTTTTGTGGGGTTTTTGTGTATCGTCCAGTCACTGATTTTGCCTTTTTTGTTTTTTAGATTTAAAAGGCGTAATAGGATGCAAGGGCTGACTGATGTAAAAGTTGAGCATACGAATGAATTCGTGGGCCCAGCTGCCCTATCGGCAAACTGAGGTGTTGCCTCCGTTCCTGAAGTGTAAAAGGACATTATTTGTTTTCTCAGAGAAGAAAAAATCCCCAAGGGTGCTAACTCTCTGGAGATTTGAGGAAAAGAAACGAGGGGGAAGATGGAGCCCCCGAGAAATTGGACCAGATGTTTTCCAATTCTTGGCAAGATTAGTGGGTTTGCTTATCAACACTGGCCCCGCAGGAAAAAGGAGCCGGGGGGCAGGAATATTTACCACCAGTTTTCGACTTTTTTTAAAAACGCGTCATAGAGGAAGCGAGGTGATGGTGGGACAATCTCGCAAGCAAGTGCGTTTAGCGTCATGATGACCGGGACGATGATGCTTCTGTTAAAAACAAGAAGCTCTCCCTGGTTCTATTGTACGGT